ATTTTCGATTTTTTTTTCGGGGGGGGGCGGGCCACCCTTTAAATTAAAAAGAAGTTGGGTTTATTGGCCCCTTGATTCCCCCTTGGATGTTTCACGGGAGGGAAAAAAAGTTTCCACGCCCCCCCGGGCGACTTGAAGAATTTTTTTCACCATCGGGAGGGGGTTCGAGCCCTCAACCAGGGCAAGATTTTAGAAGGCGGACGGCCCCATTGGTGACGGAGAGCGCGGCGAAATTTACCGCGACAGCTGAACCGATGCAACCTGGGGGTGGTCCCATCGCTCTGGGTGGTAGTGGCGGCGCTCCAAGTGGTGCTCTTGGGAAGAGGCTCCCCCCCCCCCCCCCCTCCCCCCTCGGTTGGAGAGGAGTCGGGAAAGAAGAATTTTTTCCGGATTTTTTTGCACAACCAAACTCCCTCGCACAGGGCACGTCCTCCCATCCCTCCCTTGGTGATCAGTTTTCTTTCTTTCTTTACACTGGGCACGGGACTGGCGCGGGAAAAAAGAATTTCACCGTCCTCGCAAGAGTTTGAGTTTCTTCCTTTGCTTGCTATTTTTCTTTTCCGTCTTCGAGTCGTCCTTCCAAAATCCTGCTCGTGCAGGTGGGGACCCTGTCCTCCTCCCCTATCCCTCGTTTCGGCTGGGGTTTCTTTCTTTTTTTCGTCTTCGAGGCCAAAGATTTCCTCGTTTTTGTAGCCTGGCGTTTGTGCCCCGTTTGTGCCCCGTCCCGCCAATTTTTTATCGATTTTTTCGCTGCGCAGGCTCGGGTCGCAGCTCCTCATCTCAAACCCTGTCAGCAGAGTCCTCCTACGGGAATGCTAAAAATATCTCTCTCTCGGGGGAATGTACGTAATGTACGTAAGAGCAAAAGAAGGAACAGTCAGTCAGTGTTACACACCTAGCATGGATGGAGGACGGGCCCACACGCACACACACGCTGCACACGATTGGCGGGAAACCTGTGTCACCCGAAATCCATAGTGTCACTCTTATGTTTTTTTTTTAAATTTGCGAAGTGCGGCTTCGGTGTGCATTTTTGCGGCTTCGGTGCCTTTTTTTGCGGCTTCGGTGGGATTTTTTGCGGCTTCAGTGTGCGTTTTTGCGGCTTCCGTGTGTACTTGTTACGTGAAAACCCGCTGGGACCCGGACGCCAGCACACACGGCTAGATTTCATGGCGGGCCGCCTAGGCCCTGGGGTCGGAGTCAGAATCGGTTGGGTGGCCGCGGAGGGCGCGGGCTTCGCTTTCGGGGGCGGTCAGGGAGGGGTCGGGGCGCTGCAGGGGAGCGCGAGGCGGTGCGGGCCTCCTGGGCCACCCGAGAGGCTTCAGCATCTGGGTGCGGCGGCGGCGGTGTGCGCCCGTCGCTTACCTGCCCGCGACGACGCTGCCCGCCTTTGCCGCGCCAGCCGCCGGCTTGCTGCAGCCGCAGCGCGCGGTGCCCGACCACCGGCGCGCCCGCCCGCTCGCCTTCTCGCGCCGCCTCTCCGCGCAAAGCCGCTCACGCCGCGCGTACTCAGCCATCGGCGCGACATCACCCCCGCAGGCACCTCGCGACGGGTCGGCGCACTCGTGCGGCTCAACGCAGAACTACGGAGCGACCTCCGCCGCGGCTTGGCGCTGCCCATGGCAGCAACAGGTGCCGCCCCACCACCCGCCTGCTGCCTCTGCCTCTCTCAGCCATGCGACCCCTCCGCCAATGCACACCTCGAACGCGACGTCAGATCCCGCTGCGACGGGCAACATTCGCGGCGATGAGGCCTCCGCCAGCACTGATCATC